TGGCCGGCCAAGATTCACTTGTCTGGGGCCAACTGTCACCTCTAATATAACTTACTAATACCTGGCAGGTCTCCTTTCAGCGGAATTTTGCTAGAAGTTCCTCAGTAGGTAGAATGTAGCTGTTTTAATGGGTGTTTCTGATCCGGTTAATGTGGAGATACTGAAAGTGCTGCTTCCTTGCCGGCCGCCATGTTGGATCCCCAGGAAAATATATTTTAAAGACAGTTATGGAAAATAACTCATGTCAGAAAATTCCAATGAAATCTTGAAGTATTATAATGATAATTCTGTTTTGAATTCTTTCCACTTAAATACATATAGATTGTTTCTGTTGTATACTATTATTTTATGGAAAGTAACATACATAAATTTCATAATCAAGGAAATATATCTTCCTAAGTCCTTTTAAGAGTGTCTTCTCATAGAAAATAACATGTAATTTTATGTCAAAGTATATTAAACTGTGAATCAAAAATTATGCTTAATTAGTACTATATACATATATCAAAAGCTTTTTCAGCTTACAACTGAAGACTTTACTTGAAAGATGAATGTTTTCTATTTATAGTTATGTTTTTAGATAGATAAAATATTTAGAAAATATTTTATCAGTGAAATTCAACACAGAATTATCATTATAATACTTCAAGATTTCATCAGAATTTTCTGACATAAGTTATATTTCATAATTGTCTTTACAAAAATATATTTTCATAAAATATTTAGAAAATATTTTATCCAATTGTATGTCTCTTACTTCTCTTATAGATGCAAATATCAAATAATCCATTACACTCAAAATAGTTAGATATTATACTTCACAGGCCTATTAACATAATAATATACACTGGATGAAAAAATTCCATGATATTATGAAGTTTCCTGACTTTGCTATCATATTTAAATCTGACAATCTTACCTAGCTAGAACTTTAGACCTCTGTGTTTTAAACACACATTTTCTCCTTTTTATAGAAGACTATAAACAACTGTAAGTATTATGACTTCTGATTAAAGATATACTTCTTGTAAGTGATTTCTCTGTGAATCTTTGAAGACCCTCATTTTACTGCCTGAAGTTTCGGGGTACAGTCAGTGTGGTCTGAGTAGACATTGAAGCCTCAAAGAGGAACAACTTGAGAAACTCTAGTACAGTAAATCATTTCAGCCCAGATGGTATTCATCTCAAAACTCTGAAGACAGCAAAGTGTGGAGGAGCAAACCTGCAGGCAAGGATGTGTAAAAATAGCAGTGTCAGTACACCTAGGATGCACGCTATCCTTGTGCTATGGGGACATTCCATTGTTTTGACTGCTGGTCCCTTAGATCTTATTCTTGGATTTGTTGAGCTCAACATTGTGAGTATTCTTAAAAATAGAGGAAATCTACTTGCTCTTTATTTGTGTTTATTCCACTGTCTATAACGATGAATAGGATACATGTTTTAATAACTCCCAAATCTGTTTCTCGGGAATCTCATAGGGAATTCAAAAGTAGGAACTGAAGTGAGCCCAAGATATGAGTTCCTGTTTTCCTTCTGCCCTAACATCCTTCCTGAGAGACGATTCTGATTCAGCTCGCTGAGTTTCAGCTGGTGCTGTTCTGTTGACTCCCAGCTCTCAGGAATGCCTGAGGAAGTTTATGGAAGGAATTCTGTGGGAAAAAGCAGGCTCTGGGTAAATATGCAAAAGAAACAGGAGTTACAAAAGTTTATTACTAGAATATTCAGACAACCCAGAAAGGAATTTGATCAATGACCAAATTCTTTTAGGGAGAGGTCTTTATCTCTGCCATCTGGTGATCTGGCCACCTTTCCTCACAATGGTTTTTCAAAAGATCACAAGCAAGTCTTTGGTGTAAATTAGCTTTCTCATCTGGACCGAGCCAGATGTAAGGAAGACATCAGAAAACTTGAAATTTAAAGGCTCTAATTCAAGTCTCAGCATAGTTTCAAGTTGACTACTAGGTAACTCCACATGGATGTCCTCCTTGTGTTAGAAAATCAATTGGTCCAAACCTGATATAATTACCAGTATCATCAGTCAGAGAACCAATAGAAACAGATGGCATTCTCAAATTAGGACCAACTCCCATTTATCTAAAGTGTATGACTCTTAGGAATGTTTGATTTACAGAATCTTTCTACAGATGTGTGTGATTGTAGAAAACCAAAATGCGTAGTACAGAAACTACACCATCTAGTACTAGTAACAACTGAGTTATTAGTACCACCAAGTCTGAAAGAAAAAGGAGAGAAAACTTGTACAGAAATCCAGAAGGAGATGTAGAAAAGGCCACACTAATGGAAACAGTTAAAGGAAAAAGCCAACCCAGAATGAGACTCGAAGGAGGTATCCACAGAAACGCTTTCCTATCTGCCATTTCCACCATTGGCTGAATCCAACTGGAAGTTGTAGATCAAAAACAATTATGTATTGTATATAAGTCCTTAAGATATTTAAGAGGTAGAGAAGGATGGGAACAGATCTGAAAATAACTGGCATACTGCCATTTTCCATTCCAATTTTATCCCTACCTAGATGAACCAGTTCTCTAAATGATACCATGGATTACCTAAAGACATCCATCAAAATCTACTCTTAATGGAAATTCTTAACATGATCCTTACAATCTCAACTCCTTGCAAAGATCTGATTTCAAGTCCCCATCTATTCAGTGTATGAAATATTCTTCATTGTTGCCTTTCTGAGTAAATTCTGAGCTGGATCTGTTGGTTCATCTCTGCTTTCTATTCCTTAACACCTAGTGTATGGCCAATAAGTAATTGTTAGTAAATGAATTGCTTCACTTAGAAGGCTACGAAATGGTACAAAATCGTTTTACATAAGAGATTGAGTTTATCGGATTTCTCAATGAAAAAAAGTTTACTAGCAAAAAATATAAATAATTGTATACAGAGGGCTACTTTAACAGTAGGACTGCTTAAAATGTACTGCAATGTTTAGCTAAAAAGTCTTGAAAGCCTGAATTAACTAATTTGCTCAACACTTATAGGTTGAACATATACTATATAAATATACTATGTGCTGTTAATAATATATTATGTCTTAGCCAGGATATTAAGTACTGGTGGTACAGTTCTTAACAAATATGTTGCAGATTTGAAAAATAAAGTAAACAAGGTCATTTCTGAAAGTGATAAATGTCACAAAGAAATGACGAGGCCGAAGTAATAGAGTGATATAAAGAAAAAAGTTATCAGTGATAGGAGGCTAATGAATGGAATGAAGAAGCAATTACAGGGAGGTATGGGAGCCTAGGAATGGGGAGCACTTGGTGCAGAAGAACCAGCAAGGATGCCTAGCAGATGCAGAGAAGGGCATGTTAAGAAAGGCTTCCCAGAGGGCAGATGAGTAGATGGTGAGAGTAAAAATGGGGGCCAAGTCCTGAAAGAGCCACCAGCCACACTGTAGCTGTGGTGACTCTTTAGCCTGGTGTTTAAGGATCCTTTGTGTTTCAGTCCTGGTGGATGAAAAAAGATTTATGTCCTGCATTATGTCAATTTGTACCCCCTGCTCTGAAGACAGGGGGCTATTTAAGCTCCCTAAATGTTCCATGCTGACTATTCCTTCTGTAGTTCTACCCTCTTATTCTTGTTGGCCAAAGAGACAAGACTCTCTTTTTTTTTCGGGAGGCCCTCTATTTCACGCTCTGTCCTGGCTTTCACAACTCAACACAAAGTATTTCTAAAAATAACTTGACTTCTTTCCTCTGTTTTCCAGAGAAAATTCACACTTTCCCAGACATTAGCAAGTCTAAACTAAATAGCAGTATTTTAGAGATGAAAATCCCTACATTCTCATCACATTAACTCTCTATGCAACATGCACCCACTGTAACATATAGAACTCCTTGGGGGGGGGGCATCTGTGACTCACCAAATTTTTCTTCCTTGTTTTAAGGGTAAAAGGTTTGCAATTACTCTGAATATTCAGGGCCAAATATTAAGTTTAAATTTAATTTAATCTGTAATGTAGGGAATATTTATAGAATTGAGATCAAATAAGTAGAAAATAATTGATTTTAATTGTAAATATGTCTCTAATATTAGTATGGAAGTATCTTCAGGTTATTAAATAGTTTTTTCCTTTTTGCCACTATAAATAACACAACTTCATTGGTATTCTGGATGAGCGGTACTGATATGATTGCAGACAGTTGAACTACACATATATAACAAAAATTGAACTAATAAACATCTTTTCCATAATTTACTGGTCACAATTATACCCTGGTGTTAAACCAAGTCAAAAGTAGCAGTATAGAAGCAATACAGAAAATAGAAATTAAAGTATTACTTTATTATTGCAGAAATTCATAAAATTAACATAAAAATAAATTCACAATCAAAATACATCATTATTGAAATACACATTGACTTTTGTTATCTAATGTAGTTGCTTTACATTTTTATGGCTATAAAGACATCAAATTTAAAAAGTAAAATTCAAAAATATTCAAATAACAAAAATTCCAAGATATCATTTTGACTTTTAAGATTTCTCATCTAACCAAACATTTAGGCAATTGAAGTTAATGCTAATGATCTAGGTAATGTTTTAAAAATAGGTAAGACTATATAACTCACAGATGTGTTGGGTATTCTTATTAACATTTCCATTTTGACAAGCTAATAGAAACCAATAAAATTGATCAGATAAAACAACCTGTTAACTGTAATCTCATATTTTAATGTAGTTAGTTAATTTTATGTGCATTTATATTCATCATAAAAACAAAATGAAATTTTGATTAACATCTTTTGTCTCCAAGGGAAACTTTAATTCTCTACTAGTACATTTAATAGAGTATTTTCTTAAGAAAAAAATAAATCTATGATCCTCATGTCATATACCTCACATTTTATAATTAATACATTAAATTCATCTTAATATTTTCCTTATTAATGATGGTTGTAGCATTCCATTGACTGGCTACAGAGACTTGCTTTAAAGAAAGTGGCTGTTAATGATCTGTGACTCAATGAATGATGACTCCTCCAGGTATTTGGATTGGTGGAGAATCTCTTGTTTGACTTGATATTCTGTAGAGTCTATGTAAAAGCAAAAGCAAAAGTCAATAGTATGCTAGTATAAGTATTTTACAAATATACTTGTTTTGGTTGAAGTCTGTGCTTAAAATGGTGAAAAATAAGTTTCCAAATGTAAAGTCCCAGTTACAAAATATTCTAATGTGTTTCTAAGGACTATCATATATTTAACTGTAATATCCATATTGTCATTTTTCTTCTTATTCTTCTCTCTCTAGTTTTATTTTTTTTCCTCCTGTTTATACCACTGAGCTACATCCCAAGTCTCCTTTTTATTTTACTTTGAGACAGGGTCTCACTAAGTTGCCCAAATCAGCCTCAAATTTGTGATCTTCTTGCCTCAACCTTTCAAATCTTTGGGATTACAGGTATGTACCATTGGACCTGCCAGGGATAGGCCTTCCTATGCAGGCAAAGAAAGAGGTGAAGTCACAGTTAATTCATTGGGAATTATGTATAGCTTACATGTGATTTATCTGTGGTACAATATCATCAGTAAAAACTCACAGGCCCATGTGGCTAGGGTGAACTTTATACTTTACCTATGTGGCTAAGAAGTAAAGATCAGTGACCCTTAACACAGGAGCTCTGTTGGGACAGAAAACTGTTTCTCCGAAACAATAGATTTGTCATTGAATGTCTAAGCAAGTAGAGTAGCTGAGCAATGTTCTCAAATATTTCAAACCAAATAAAGTGTAATAAATTCCAAATGGTACTTTTCTCCCTTAGAAATAGGCCTTAATTACTTGGCCTTTAAACTGTATGTTAGAACCCATATAATAGCTTCTCATAGAAATAAAACTTTTAAGGTCTTGGAAAAAAGCAGATTATTTGGTACTGCTTTTGGTAAACAACATATTAAACACTTAGCAGGATTGAATCCAATAAGTAGATATACTTTCTTTAGCTGCATTGCATTTAAAAATAAATAAATTGAAATGTCTTTCAGCAGAACATATACTCTTCTGTACTTCACCCTCTGCTATTGTTACACACTCCCCCGCTTCTGTCTTCCCTTGTCTTTTCCTGGGTGTCAAGGCCTGTTCATCTGGGATTTCTCAGGTTGTTTCTGAGGAGCAATATGTGTATGTGCATTGTGCAGGTGACTGAGCCAGTCTGTGTGAATGTCAGATGTCAAGATATCAGAGAAATAGCCAATAGTTTGTTTCCTGTCTATGTCCAATCTTAATGATATACTTTATGTGTATATAAGTATATTTACAGATGTATGTAAATGCACTCTCTGTTTCATTAATATTTATGATACTCCAATTATACATATACACATGCATAAAGTAAAAGCAAATGAAAATGATTGATATTTAAATATGAAGTTATATTTTAATGGAAGGTAAACTAGTGCATATCATCTTGTATCTATTTGTCAAAACTAAATAAGTTAAATGTTTTAAATCCCCTAAATTCAGAAGTCTAGAGTTTGATTGAGTCTCTAGCCTTAAAAGTCTCAGACTTGATGGAGCATTACAATACTCTAGTCATGAATGCTCTCAAGGAAAATGATTTGGAAAGAATCAACTAATGTTAGGTAATGACTATGTCTTTCTATGGGTATGCTGTGAGGCCTCATCATCTTAGGTAAATAAAAACTTTTTGAGATACACAATAGGTTAGTTATTTGAGTTCACTGATTCTACATATAATTTGAATAAAAATATAACAAAATTTCATTTGTATTTTGCACAAAAACCAAGAGGAAATACTGATAACAGTTTAATTGGAAGCAACATGCAATGCATATGTGCTTGTAAAATGCAGTGTAAGAAAATCCCCAATGATCACATTTCCCTTACATTTGAAGACCATGAGTAATGTTTCCATGGACCTATCTCACATAAAAGTTGATTTAGCATGTCTTAACAGAGAAGCTTTCATTCTCAGGGCCTGTGTAAGCTCACCCATTGTGAAATGTGCTTTAACACAGCTAAATGATTCCCTCCAGCCCTTCCCTTCTGAGTTATGTTTAGTTACCTCAACTTGAGCATAACCAAGAGAAGGATTCCACAGGTGACTGTCATGCACATCACAGCATAGATGACTTGCCCTAGGAATAAAAGACTTTAAAGATCACTGGAGTTTTACAGGGGATAAATAATAAAAGTATTATAAGGGACATATTTTTTTAACTGACCATTGAAGGAGGAATGAAATCCAGTTAGAGTAATTTCCTTGGCATGTTTTCGTTTATACAATGCAATGCCCTTGAAATTAGACAGCATTGGGTAATCTGAAAGAAAATGACAAAAGTGAGATTCAAGTTTTTAAATATGGTGTATTTGTCCCCTTGATTATAATTTGCTTAATATTAAAATTAAAAGGCAACAATTTATTTCAATGATGCTATTTTAATAAATTTGATAATTTGCATGTAATCAGGAACACCTTAACTTTTAAGTTTGTTCCCTCCTCCTTTTAGTCAGATAATTTCTTTATAGAAACTTTTTCAAAACAAGATTAGTTAAAAAATGATTATATTTTATTACTCATTGTACCCAAGACAGTAACTTAATGCTATCCATTGGGATATTAAGAAAGATTTCTTCTTTATAAAAGTGATTGTTTTAATGTGCTTTTAAGAATGTCTTATTTCACTAAGATCCACAAATGAGTACACATAAAGGAGAGTCCTTAAACTAAATGCCCACTTGTTCCTCTGCTCAGACACTATAATACCTGGCTTTGTTTATCTATGATGTTCTGTTTCCCTTTGACCCAGGCTTACACCACACCCCACTCTGGCCTGTGAGACCTTCAGTCCACTGTTGAGACACCCTGAGAGGATACTTTAAATCACTCTGAGGCCCCAGTCTTCTTGGGGCCTTTTCCTAGTCCCTGTGAAATATGCTCCCACTGTTTTCTAGTAAGCTTACAACTCTAGAGAGCATGCTTCCTAGGAGCCAGGTTTTAAAAAGAAATCATTCTCTGTGGGATATGTTCTTTTCTTTGTTTTTTCCTCTTTAAAGACAAGAAGATATCATCTTAAAAATGAATGGATATATTTTAGCTGGGTTTTTTTTTTTTTTTGATCACTTCAAAAAAAAATCACCCCAACTTTTGACTCAACACAACACACATACAAATATAGAATATAACCAATAGCCCAATAATCAATTTCTTCAATGATGATAATTCAGTTCAATTGGAGGCATTTAGAAAGAAAAAAGAGAATAGAAAGAAAAGGAAAGGAAAGTGAGGGGAAACCTCCAATACAGAGAGGCTTTGGTGTTCTCTGATCTAGAGGTTATATAGGACCTGGAAATAGGAGTAGACAGTTGTTTACAGAAATGAGTTAAATAGTGAGGTCTTACATCCAATGAAAACTAGTGACAAAGGTTCTGAGTAGGGACAGAGATGAGAAAAAATATTATCAAAGTTTCCACCCAAATCTCTCTCCCCTCGATTGCTGCTGTTCAGAATCCCTTGAAACCCAGAGGTTGAGCTCTATGTTAGGAATAATCAGTTAACAGATAGGTTGGAATTTCAGTATAAAATTTCCAGAGTGGGTTGAGGAGAAGCAATACAAGAACTAGAAAAGTACTGATTGGTTCTTAGAAAGCTCATTCTTGGGCTGCGGAGGTAGCTCAGCAGTCTCTCTCTCTCTCTCTCTCTCTCTCTCTCTCTCTATATATATATATATATATATATATATATATATATATATATACACACATACATACATACACACAGGCTCTGGATTTAAAATTTTGATATCAAATTAAAAAATGTTCAGCTCAAAAATTTTTAGCCTTCAAGTTGCACATTAGCTCATCATACTTAAAAAATTTATTGAAAACTGAAAAATCAAACTTTTCAAAATATAGATGTATTAGGGGTATGATTTTAGATTTTTTTTAATACACCCATGTTTACAAGACAAATTTTGTTATTCACTATAAGATTGGAATGGAAAAACTGACCAATTCAAATAATATTTTTATAATAATGTTCTTTTTTGTAAGAATTTAATAAAGTTGAACATATAGATTTTTAGTGAAATGAATGATTAGAATAAAATATATTTAAAATATTATATTTATATCAATTGAAAATATGATGAATAAATATTTTGATTTCTTCATAAATTATATGATTTTTGTAAAGTTTTAGGCAGACACATGGCATATATGTATATATATATATATATATATATATATATATATATATATATATATATAAAATATATTGACTATTCAAACAATATTATGATGTTTATGAAATTCTGTCCCTAAGTACATTTGGTCTGAGTAGTATCATAATTTGACTTACCTTAACGTCAGAAAAAAAGCATTCTTTTTGACAAATTAGGCCATTGTTTAGATATATAACTTCTTAAAGTAACTGTTAACCATTCACCTAGCAAATATTAGGAAGAATTGGCTCATTCACTAAATTTCACTCACATGGAACTCATTAACAAAGTCATAATAGATCAATGACAGAAATGCTAGCTAATGATCCCAGTGAAAATCTGAACGTGTCTAGCAATCGCCCCACAATCTTAAATATTACACCCTGGGAGGATACCAAATATCAGTTAGAGAGATTAATATTGCTGAGGGTTTCTTGGCTACTGAAGCCCATTGGAGATTCTTGCCTACCTCTCATAAATAGTGAGGTTTACAGTGTTTTATAACCATGAAATTAAAGTCAGCAGAGTTGATTACCAACCTCAGTCCCACACCATCTGCTATATTTATAGATAAACACTGTCAGTGACTTGTTTATCTTAACTTATACCCAAGAGGAATTACATACTATTATGCACTGTAATATAAAATCCCTATACATTTGATGGGAAATCAAGATTAATTTCAACCTTGCATTAGGAACAAATTTAAGTAGTATTCTCCCCCCTAAATGAGTTGGAGAAATGCAATCAATTCTATCTTTTTTTTTCTTTCAAAATCCTTGTTTAATGGTGACTGAGAACTTCAGAGGCTTAAAATTCTGCTTTCTTTAGTTTTTATAGAATGATAAATGCATTGTAAAAGGTGTGTAGATCAGATACAAAGCAATGGTTTAAAAATAAATGCCAGTATATTTGAAATAAAATCATTTAAGAAATTAAACATACTTCAAACTGCAAATTTGTAAGCTTTCATTTCATTTTAATTAAGTCATAACTTAGAAGAGTCAATTTGGGGGGAAACTGCCTATGTCTATAATGAACTTAATGAAGAAAATATATCTCCAAAATGGAGCAGTAATTTTTATATCATAAATGTACTAAGAGAGCTAGTTAGTAATAAAGACAACTGTAAGATAATGATGGGAATAATTTGCTCTATATTTTATAACTTTTACAACTTCATGTTTTATATGTGGAGGTTCTTAATGTACAAATATTTTTTTTAATGAACAAACATATAAATGACAGTACCATTGATTGTCCAGATAGATTTCTGATATCTTAATTTGAAATAGAAAATTCACTAATGACCACCTTTTTTGAGAAGTGCAAGATTTATCTGGCTGGCTTATATAGTTATTTTCATAGACTGTTTGAGAATAGGGAAAACATGGAAAAAACTTAAATATGCATTTCAGAAAGTCTCAAAACATTATTTGGAATGATGATATGATTAAAAAAGTTTTTAAGTTATTGAGTTTTTAAATGGAAAAAATGTATATAATTTTACTATGTCTTTCCTGTACAAACTAGCAAATCTTCAGGAGAAAGGAGAAATGTGTTGTGGAAACTTTTTATTCAGCAACCTTCTTGAGAATAGATAATGTATCTAACTTACAATAACAGAATTAAGCTATTACAATGCTGTGCTCAAGCAATTATCTAATGGTTAAAAAAGCATCTATTCTCAACTTTCACACTTGAAATAACATATCTACTGCTGTATAATGTTTAGTTTGTTATAGTTTGAATTAACATTAGTTAAATGTCTTCACATAAATTATATATGTTTCATCATTCATTTCTTAAAATGTAAATCCATTGTCCCTGCTGCAAAGAATAGCAGCAATAACCAATAAAAATTGGTTAAGTGATTATATGGCCAGGAGATTGATTCCACCCATCAAATCTCTTTACTGATGGGCAAAGAGTAAGTATGTTGGGCACTGGATTAGGGATATCTAAGAAAAGTGAAGAAAGTCAATAATTTTTTGAGCCTAGTTTTTGCATTGCAAAACAAGACTAATGATATTTATGTTTGCAAGATTTTTTTTAGGAAATTAAACTATTATGGGGCTGGGATTGTGGCTCAGAGGGGCTGGGATTGTGGCTCAGTGGTAGAGTGTTTGCCTAACATGCATGAGGCCCTGGGTTCAATCCTCAGCACCACATATAGTCCACCTATAACTAAAAAATAAATATTTGAAAAAACTATTATTTGGTTAACAGAGTTCTGGGGGACCATTATGAGAAATAATGCACAACTGTAATAAGAATGGAAGGGGAAAACCGAAGAAAGGATTCCTTTACTGGTTCTTTTTTCTCCTTCTCTTTCTCATTCCTCGTCTTCTTTCCTTTCTTCTTTCTTCAACAACTATTGTAAAAATTACTGTTGACAGATACTGGAGATTAAGAGGTGACCTACCCACAGCTGCTTTCTCATTATCAAATACACCAAGTTTGCTGCCTTTGCTTTTACTGCCGAAGATGACCTTGAAGATGATGTCTCGGGGACTTTCCTATTTCCTCTATTCCCTCCCACTTATCAGTAATACATTTTCTAGCCATTTTGAGAGAATCCCACACCACTCCATTAAATTATCAATATAAAAATGAACTTTTAAAACCATATTCATAGCAGCACAATTCACGACAACCAAACTATGGAAACAGCCTAACAGTCCATCAATGGATGAATAGATATATGTAGTATATATACACAATGGAGTTTTTTGCCATAAAGAAAAATGAAATTATGTCATTTGCAGAAATATGGATGGAACTTGAGACTATTATATTAAGATAAATAAACCAAACTCAGAAGGCCAAGGTTCATGTTTTCTCTCATATAGGGAAATTAGAGAGGAAAAAGAAAAAGAAAGATGGGGGAAGGGGGTCTCATGAAAATGGAAAGGAGATCAGTAGAGTAGAGGACAGGAACTTGCAGGGAGGGAGGAGGAGAGGGAAAAGGAAAATACTGATGAGTGATATTGACCAAAATTTATTGTTATATTGTGTGCATGTGTGGATATGCAACAACAAATCCCACTATTATATACAACTATAATGCATCAATAAGGATATTAAAAAACAACTAT